TCCGCCATATCGGAGTTGTGCTGTGTTGTTCAGTGATGTATGGACTCATGTACGGGTGGGGACGCAGATGTTGAGTAGTAAATACTAGTGTTGCCACATTACATTTACACATAGAGAGTGTTTGGTAGGTCCCCGTTGACGCGATTGTACGGAAGCAGTGAGGCTCCCTCTCTGTCTGTCTTTCTCTCTCTCTCTCTTGCTGTGTCCACGTATTTCTCTGTATATACAATGCTTTCCAGATGTCAAGGTTCACCACGACCGGACAGAAAAGAAAGCAGGGCGGAGAGTGTCATGCAAGGATGGATGCGTTCCTTCCCCCACGCGGCAAGGACCATAAGACACCTGAAACGGATCGAAACAGGGGTCGGACTGTAGTTAGCGACCGAGAACATATAGGCAGGCTAACAGAGGAGGTGCATAAGCAGAAAGTACTGCTTAGAGAGATGTCAGACGAACTACGCCGCCTCAAGTCGCTCCTCGACGAAATGAAAGAAACTGTGAGGCACAAGATGTTCACCGTGTTCCGGTTGCATGAAAGATATAGACGTTACTCGTCTGAGGGAGGACATGTCAGCCAGACTTCAGGCAATTGCTGAAACGAAGAACACCACGTTCGACGAGTTTCAGGCATGGCGGGATATTGAAAGGGAAAGGCGCACCACAGTCTTGAAGCGGTTTTCCGCCCCCGTCACGAAAACAAAAAACGGGGAGTCAGACGAAGGGGATGTCATGTGTCTTTCCAGCTGCGGAAAGTGTGTGCTGAAGGAGGGGTGGGCATCGTACAATAGCCAAGATTACAACACAAGTTCGCTACCTACGACGGCACGCAGCGTCGTTGACCTCTTAGCCTTCGCCGAGGACTGCATTCGCCACTGTACGAAAACCGTCGAGGAGTACGGTCTGAGTGAAGTGGGTGTCGGGTCTGTTAATGACGAGCTTACTGCAAAAATCGCGTCTCTGCTGAGCAGTTGCGAAGACATAATGGATGCCCTACAACACACTCGAGGCAGGTTGTTGGTTGGAGAACTGACGGTGACATGTATGGAAGGAGATGTTATGGGATGTGGAGAAGGTGAAACGAAGAAGGGAAGAGAAGAAGCTGACAGACCAATCGGAGTGTGTTCGGGAAATGGGGCCTCTCTTGGGAAGGATGCACCTGCGCCACACGTCCTGTTGGCATGTAGTGATGTTGCCGCACTGAAATCTCACCACGTGTGTCACAACTTCCCCTGCGTGCTTGCAAGCAAAGCACTTTCGGCCAGACCAGAATCTTCTGTACTGCCTATGACGACGCAAATTTTTGAAAATTTCGTTGTTGACGCAAACTCTCGACAAATGGCCAGGCTGGTCGTGGACTGTTTTTCCCATATAATTTCATATATCAAAGAGATAATGGGACCGGTGTTACTGAACGCGGACCATCATGGAGCGGAAAAAAAAAAGTGAATATTGCAGGAAAGGACTTGACATCCATGAGCCCTTGAAAACTCTGTACAGAAGATGTCAAATTGTGGCAGCGTGGGTCGTCAGGGAAGCGTGATCTCTCTCTCTCTCTCTCTCTCTCTCTCTCTCTCTCTCT